AATAATTCCATCGCTAACGTGCAAGAACGAACGAAAGTTAGTTTTGTACAAAGTTAAACTTTCTCTCTTCTTTTTCTAAACGTAAAATCGAAAACTATGTGATTTGATTTGATATAACTGGTTTACCAAAACTTGATTTTCACTATTATTATTACGTAATCAAATGACATAATATTAACTTAATGTTAATTATGATGTATTTGCTTATTTCTATGTACATACACACAGATAGATTTCATTTTGAGAGCTTTATCAGTCAAAATGAATACTGAACTTATACATATATAATTCAAAACACACATTGTAATGATAATGCAAACTCAAGAACACAAAATGAATGAACGACATTTTCCGCGTACAAACAACGAAGAAATCGGTAAAGTTTTACAATTGTGAAGCTCCGGAATTCTAGCTATACCGCTGTGTGCAAGAAGTAATCGTATTAAGCAAACACATGAAAAGAATCAATACGGCGTTCTACCATCACTTGGTTTAGTGACGCAAATTTTTAATCGACCATGCATCGATCGATGTAAAGAAATATAGTGAATTTTTGAAGAATAGACATACAGAGAGAGAGAGAGAGAGAGAGAGAGAGAGAGAGAGAGAGAGTGAGAAAATCATGCGAATAATTAAGCGTCGCGAAAGTGACAATTGAAATGGCAATTCGCGGTTTACCGCGATCGACTCGGTTCATGCAACTTTAAAAACTGGGTCGACGGTTCGTTAGCGAGTCGATTAATTCTACGCGCGTAATGAGAATTTCGCCGCAACAGTGGAAGAAAAAAAAATTATCAATTTTACGTATGAAATTAATGCAGATATAATTCATAATGAAACGAACAATCGCTGTAAATAGCGAAATAAGCGTTATCATTAAATCTCAATACTCAATCAATGCTCTCTTTTGACGTATAATAGAATAACGAAAAAGTTACTTCTATCATCGATGTACTTACATAAAAGGAGAACTTCATAATTGCAAGAAAAAAAAACAAGGATATTGATCTCTCGTGTGGAATTAATATGTAATAGATTGATGAAGGAAACAATCAATAATAGTAATAAACAAATAATAAAATGATAAGGAAATAGTAGGTACGTAAAGCAATAAGAGAGGAATAAGCAATGAGAGGGCGAATAAACATATCGGTTTTCCCAAGCGTCGCGATGCGGCGCGGAATCGCGAGAGAAAAAAAAAGAAATTCCTTTCACGGACGGTTATCGATGACGGTGCTGAGCGACGAGAAAGTTTCGATAAAGAGTAGCGGCTTGCGAAATCACGCTGGCTCTCGATATTGAATATTCATGCAAGGCGGGGATCGCTCTCGCTCCGCCTCGCGCGCAATCTACTGTCTCCTTCACTCGCTCGCCGTCGGCCTCGCTCACGCTCACGAAATCGTCGGGCTTCTACGCGAAATCCTAAGGTCGCCTCCGATACTCGATACCGCCGATTCGCGCGCACGGCGAACGTGTTTATCGAGGATTTCTAGCGAAATGGGATACGTCCCCGACATTCGCGCGCGATTATCGAACGCGACAGTGCGAATACTTTTATAAAATCTGTACAGCTCATCTCTTTCGACACAACGGTATTGATACCAAATTGGTAGAAAAAAAAATCCTACATATTCTTTTTGTGTTACTTGTTTCAATAACATTAATTACTAATAATCTCAAAGTATTATATATTATTGCGTCAAATAATATAGTGTATTGTGAAGACATTTCATTTTTATAATCTTGCAAAATATTTTTTTCACGTTATCTATTATATTGTAATATTATTATTATTATCATTATTAGTGTGGTAGTTAAATTATTATAAACGAAGTTTCATTCTTGACTTGTATGCTGAATAAATATATTCTAGACTGTTATTACTATTATTTCTGTTATCTTAATTACTGTCAATCCCAAGATATTATATGACAAAGACATTTCCCTCCTTTTCGCTCTAAATGCGAAATATATTTTCTACATGCCTAACGTGTTATTTTTTTGTTACTTTTATAATATTAATTATTAATAATCTCCAAGCGCTATTCGTGACAGTATAAATATTTCACCAAAGACATCTTATTCCTATCCTAAATGGCATGCTGTAATTTCCTGGAAGTGATTCCGACATTTGAACATGTGTGAGCGAGCCGACACGTGCGTCCGCTTGAAACGGGGGACGAAATAGAAAAGAATCCGTCGATCCGCAGTCCCGCCGACTTATTGCCGGAGTTTTCCTGAACAATTTCGCGCGACGGATCGCGTCGAGAAAATGGAAAAAGACGCCGGGCAGGAAAACTTGGTGGTCTTTCATCGGCGAAATTCCAAAAGTCTCGGACGAATTCTTAACCGACAAAGGAAGGCGCCAGGACGGCGATTGTCTCTAGCGGCGCGGATTAGTGAAAATAACGCAGAAACTCCAACGCATTCGCGTCAGAATTCTTTTTGCGTTTGTTTCTTTTTTTTTGTTTGAAAAACGCAAATATCTCCCATCGGTGAAATTCAGCGGAAAACTAATTAATTTCATGAAAAGGATTATTTAATTCTCCATATCAAGAACATTTCTTTGAACTGCGCATCGATGGCGACCATCGGTCGAAAATACACATACGCATAGCCGGATCTGTGCTTTTATACGTATACCAATAAACCTGTTTATTTGCCTTAAATAAAACACGTTCATTTGCGTTACGTTGAATGTCCCGCAGAGAAGATTATGTCGGCCGTGCTATACAATCGAAATAAATTACGCCAGAATAAATTACACCGAATTACGGGCCGGATTTCGTGTATGGTGGTATTTCGAACGCACGCGTGGCACGTGCATTCATCGATCGGAAGCACAAAATATCCGCCTATCTGCTGCTCGCGGATTAGCGCAGAACGGGATTTTAACGCGTAACGCCGCGGACATGAGCACCCACTTGCGAGCGAGCGAGCGAAATACACGAGAGAAAGGGACGTGAAAGCACTTATGGGTTTCCGTGACAGCGCGCCTCGAAGCGCGATGAAGGAGAGAAGCGACGAAACATGAATAAATGCATCGCGTTCGCTCTGCGACAGGGAAAAAAAAACAGAGGTGTGCATCGAGAGAAATGGCATCTCCGAACGACGCGTGCGTCCGCTAGTTCAGCATACGAACGAATAAAACTTTGTTTCCCGGCGAGGAATGGGCGCGAGGAGGTGCCTCCGGTCCATTCGGACGCCGGGAATTCCCGGCGCGGCGATCCGGGGGACTGTGCGCCGCGTCGGAGCTCGCCGAAAAATGCAGTTGGAAGAAAACGGTCGTTGCGCTTACACGAGAAAGCTCCGCTATCCACCGGCGGCGGCCATGAATTTTGATGGATCCTTTTCCCCCCGCGGAGCGGAGCTTTCGGCCGGAATGACGCTGATTTGCATTATGCAATTTACGCGCGCGCGCATAGTTTCGAGATATATACGTGGCTGCGCTCGCGAAGAAAGACGGCGAATCCCGTTTCGCTCGTATATACGCGTCTCTTCCCCCTCCCCTCTCTCCCTCTCTCTCTCTCTCTCTCTTTCTATCTCTTCCTTTATATATTTTTTACCATCGCCTCGATTCGCGGTCCCTCTCGGGCGATATACAGTTGTGTATAACACGCGTTGCTTTAAACGAAAATGGTAAATGCATGGTGAGCATTATATGCGTTTTTAAATGCAAACGCATTCGAGACAAGAATAAATAATAAATAACGTTACTTCTGGAATGATACTATTCCTCAAAAAGAGAATAATTTTTAATACACGTTAATAAGTACACATGACAAATAACGAGACAGCTCAATTTAAGTTTCAATTTAATGTTAAGTACAAATATGTAACATTATAAAAGATTATTTTTATATATAACTACTTTTTATTATCTCGAATAGTTATAGTTTATCAACTGCAAACGTTTATTTCAATCACTGCACGTGTTTAGTCTATCGCACTTTCGCAATTGGCACCGGTACAATCAAACTGTGAAAGCTCAAGGAAAGTGTCCTCATTGCCAACCAAAACGAAATTCTAATGTAAACGAGCCTATTTGTATTCTCTCCATTATCGCGCGATAATGGTCGTGTGGTACTTTCGAAATTTCTTTCGTAACGATATAGACAAGTGGTAATAGTTATGTTTAGTGCTCAAGCCCATGATTTCAGGAAAGCAATTAAGGGAGTGAGTCGGAGTGTGCGTTTAGATGCTCGGATAATTTTCTTCCGTGGATATTTATAACAGTATCTCGGATCTAACAAAAAACATTTTCGAAAATACGCTTCTAAAAATATTCGGTAACCCGTATTAGCCCATTCTGTGAGCAAGGTAACAATGTAATTGTGCAGATGTAAGAGACGTTAGTTAACGAATATATATAATTTCATATTCACAGACATCTGACGCGAGTTACCTCGCTTCGACGAACGTTCCTTAATATCTCTCTCTCTCTCTCTCTCTCTCTC